GTTGCCAACTTGTTACTGCCAAACAAACAAGCATTATTCAAGCACAATGAAGGATCGGTGTTTCCGCCTCTCACTAGTTTCTGGTGCATTATGATGTGTCTTTATCAGAGCAAAGGTGGACTTTGGTTGCACAGAGTGAGTATTCTGTTACAGTAGCTGCATTTCAACACAGGAAGTACTGATGAGTCTGACATGACATCCTCTTTAATTCCGGCTAACTCTGTGGCATGAAAGAAAAACAGAACCTGTTTCTTCTGCGTGTTCTGACTGAACATCAGATTAGTGTGTATGCTGGAACATACCAGTTTAATTTGCACCTCACAGCGCTGAGGGGAAGACCCCGACGAGATAAACGTCTGGTTTTTATGGCCTCAGGCAGTCACACAGACACCATGCAGAAAAATCAAACGCATTTTAGCTCCAATTAAATATTCATCGACTCATCGGTCTGATGAACCATTTGCCTCAACTCTTAGAAAATGCAGGGACTCTTCAACTCTTAGTCCCTTTCGTGTGTTTTTTTTTGTTTGCTGTTGCTTTTATGCTCCGACATCATCATTTTCACTTGCAGCTTGCCTCAACCTGAAACCTGGCAGGTTGTGACTTTGCACAGAAAACTAATACATTCCAAGCATACCACAGGGTCAAAGAAATGGAAGAGCCAATAGGTGGCCAGCTGACTGCCCAGGCCCTCCTCCCCTCCTCATCTGAGGACAACCAAAACAAAAAAGAAACAGAGATCCAACAACAGAGAGAGAGTGAAGATAGACACCCCACTGCAAAATGGCCTCAGGTATCTTCAACATTGACTCCCAGAAGTATTGCCAGCTTCCTATTGGACCCCAAACTCCCACTCTTCCTGTCAGCTGCACCAGGAATCAGGAATCTGGAATATTTGGTTTGAACAGGATAAAGAGAACTTTACGACTGCATTTAGGGGACGGACACTTTCAATCTACACTTTCATGATCATTATCATACTTGTCTTTCTGACTCGTGTGGAAAAGCACCCATGACACCCATGATTTGTTGCGACTAGTTTATATTCCGTAGCAAAGTCTTGAGTCATCCTTGATGTCCTTTCTAAGCAGCCCGACTTTCGCCTGATACTTTCAATGAATCCTAATCAATAATTAATATACATTAAGCACTTTGTGTGAGCTTTATAAGATTCTAAACTCAACTTATTAGTTGACATATCAATCAATCAATCAATCAAATTTTATTTGTATAGCACATTTCAGCTACAAGGCATTTCAAAGTGCTTTACATCATAAACACAAAACACGAAGGCATGCAACATAGAATAAAATACCAAGGTTTTTTTTTTTTTTTTTTTTTTTTTTTCCCCCATTCCCTTTCTTCTCTTTCTCCCTTTTTTCCACTTTCCCTCTTCTTTCCCTTTCTTCCCCCTTCCCTTTGACACGGAATTTAAGCGCCTGTTACCGCCGGACTCCGCCGTCCGTTTAACCACGGGTATTCGCCGGGCCCCGTTGCCCACAACAGGAAAAAAAAAAAAAAAAAAAAAAAAAAAATTACATACATATCCACAAAATCAAATCCATACATATTACATTTCAAATGCAACTCTAAACAGGTGTGTTTTTACTTGAGATTTGAAGGAAGTCAGGGTTTCCGCTGTTTTACAGTTTTCTGGAAGTTTGTTCCAAAGTTTTGGTGCATAGATGCTGACATATCAGCCATTGGCGTAAAACCTTTTAAATTAGACCTGACTTTGACAACAGCCCTCAGTTAAGAAGACACAGACGCCTTCATTTTTATGTTGTAACACCAACTGAAAAATGATACAGTAATAAACTAAAAAAAAAAGACATCGGTTTGGTTCTATACCTGACCATGTGTGTCTCTGTCTGATGTTACTGACTTTCAGATGCTTTCTCTACCGTTGTGGGTTCAATCAACTACAGGCGAAAGCGTCCACCACCAAGAGGGACAAACCCAACACACGGGACAAAAAGGTCTTGTCTAGTCATCCCATTTACTTATTTTTAGCCACACACTCTGCAGTATGCTGCACTGGTCAGGTGTAGACACCAAACAGCAAATGTGTAAAAAATTGAATGATTACAAATGACTTTGACTAACCAGATGCTATGAAATTGAGGTGGTTTGAAACTATTGCACAAATCAGTATTCTTAGCCTATTGCCTTCATCAAATAACTCTGAAGCAGACAGCAACGACTCTTTGAAGCAGCGACGCAAGAACAACATCAAGAGCCAGACACTCCATCAGCACTTTGTTATGTGTCTTTACAGATTTATACAGTTTGTACAAAACCTCAGCTTACAAGGGAGAAGGGAGGAAAATGTAGGTGTTGGAGATAAAAATGATAAACCACCACAAGACATGCAGAGTGCACAAATCTCTCTCATGAACAGAAAGTGGGAATTTATTGCTAAAGTAAATTAAGTTCTGTAAAAAAAAACAATAATAATAATGCTCTATAAATAGCAAATAGCAGCTGCGTGAAATAATTTTTTAACTCAGCCGCCTGGCTTCCAACACACAGCAAAGAGAAACACAAGACAAAATCCTTTACTGAACCAATACTACAATTGCAATACCATCTTCAGGCATCCCAAAGACTGCAACATAACTCTTGATCTTTACCTGCATTCATTTCCAACTATTTTACATTTTATTTTGCCCCCACACTCTCTCCTCCATGTAGGGCGACCTTGCATGGCAACGACCCCTGAGGCGTGGAGCTGGGACAGCACGTCGACCCGACCCGCTAACAGAACCAATGTTTTTGGTACATATTCGGTCTGGCACGCTGCAGAAATTAAACCAGCGAGCGGTGAGCTCTGCATGGTTGCTCACCACACAGAGGAAGAGGTCAACAAGTCTCTTCCTGTATCAAAGCAGAACTGCAGCGCAGATAAGAGAAGTTTATGGAGATGCTCTGTGATCAAGGATGGATAGGCCGCTGTGATTGGCCGAATGAAATCCAAAACCAGACGACTGCGGAGTTGAAAAGAATTTCATTCATCTGGAGAAAGTTTGAGAGAGCTTGTTGTTACACACACTCACTGTCCAGGATATTCTCGTCTATGCTACACTGTGCAACATACAGTGTATACTGTACTGCAATCATTTTTCATTTCAAAGTGTAAAAGTGAAAAAAGCCCTTAAAATGGCAAATATTTTCAAAACATTAGCAATATTTCACTGATTGGCAACTACTTCTAAACAGCTGTTTTGTTGGAAATGCTGGATGCAACATGTGAATTAAATTGTTGCAACTTAAAGGCAGCAGGGAGAGTCCTGCTCATGTAAAGCCGAGTTGCACATAGCCTTAGGAGACACATTTTATTTTGACAACTTGCTGAAGCCCGCCCTGTGTCAGCCAGAGCAAAACGTGTCTCATCCTGTTCCTGACCTGCTTCCAGTGAAAGTCATTAGTTCTGTGACGTTCCACTGCAAAGCGAAATGACACTCTCCTTTTGTTCCAGAGCATTTTGTAAATATGTATGTTGCATGTTATTGTTTACGTGTGGAAATTACATGCACATGCCTGAAGTTAGAGGGCAAAAGGAGGATTGTTTTAATTGGCGTCCACAGCAGCGCTGGAGCATTTCAGTTAGCAGAGTGAACCCCGGAGGTTTAGCTGTTATTCATTTAGTGTTTGCGCATCAGAGCAAACAGAAAATAACAGAAAAACCTCAGAGGAACAACTCAAAACCACTTTTTATCTTTTCTCACTTTCTGTGTCAGCTACTCTACACACAGACCTGTTACCACGACGATTGAAACAGATAATCTCATTTAAACTCCTACTGTTGTTGTGTCAGAGAGTCAGCGTGAACGTTCCCCTTTGAGTTTTTGCCGGAACTGAAACGCAGTAATCCTGCAGCACGTCTACATGCTAAGGTTGTTAAAGTCAAGCTAGCACTACTGACCTACTTCCCTTGCTACTTTTTATGAATTAAAACTTTTCTTGAACCTGTCTAGTTGACGTAATTTTGACAATTAGTACAAACATACATTGTCCCTTTATTTTCTGTGCATTATGTGTAGATTTAAGATCTAGAGAGTTATATTGACGACTTGACAGGTAATGACAGCCATCATCCAGCTTTTATGCAGGATCTTGATGTGCTGTCATCTTGCAACATGTCTATATGTTCTTAATGGTCACTGCACATCATGTACATATGGTGCGATTAATGGGACATATTTATTTATTCTATTTAGAATCAAATTCAAATGTGCATAACTGACTTTGAATCTCTATCTGATCAGGCTGAACTGACTATATTTCTGCATATTAATCAGATGGGATTTTTTTTTTTTTTGAAAATGTGCTTTGAGACAACATTTGATCTGAATTGCTGCCATATTAATAAAAACCAAACTAAGCTGAGTTTAATGGACTTGCTGGTCATGGTGAAAGGACACTTACAGTAAAGGAACTTAATGGCATCATGGGACAATATGAAGTATATTTTTATAGGCTGTTTAAATATTAGCCATGAAAAAATATTTTCCTTTAACTCAAACATATTAATCAATATTCAGTAATTGTTAGATTACTAAATAATTAGTTACTTTGTTATAGTGAAGTTTTTTTCCTTTTCTTCTTGCCTGTGTCTAAAATTGCATCACATTTTCTGCACAAGGAGTTAAAATCTGTCTGAAGCAAAAGAAACAAAAAAAGGGGCCCCCACGTTAAACTCTGCTCAGGGCCTCGTACGCTCTTGGGCCGGCCCTGGTTCTACACGTCCCTCTTGACAATTTCCGACCTGGACGAAAGAAAAAAACGAAGCCACCTTTCTCCATCTGCTCTGGTTTTGAGAAGTGGAGTGAAGTGGCCCCCAGGGACCAGGCGGGACCAGCTGATCGCATCTGGACACCGCGCAGAGGCTCGGCTTGTCCGCAGGTGAGTGTGCGCCGCCTCGGCCAGGTAATGGCTGAAACACCGGATCCCTGCTGACAAACCTGCTGGTACAATCGGGTGAAACACGAGCGACTCACAGATATCTGTCGGAGCCCTTGGTCTGTCTGTGCAGAGCCACCGAGAACCCAAACAAGCTGCCGGCGGTTTTCCCCTGTTTGACCACAGGAAACTTCACATCCACGTTAAATCCGTCGCAGGTCGGCGCCCCGCGGTACGCGGCCAGAGCAGTCCAAACTAATAACCGTAGAAACATGTTTAGGTTCCTCATCCGCTCCGGGTTCAGTCGGTTTTAAGCCCCAAACTCCGCGATCAGGTCCACGATCAGCCGGGGGCCCGACGTCAGACCAACAGGTAGGCTGAGCAGACTGCAGCCAACTCATGAATCAGTGCTGAGATGTGTGTGTGTGTGCGCGTGTGTGTGTGCGTGTGTGTGTGTGTGCGCCGCTTCCCTCCCTCCCTGCCTCTCTCGCTCTCCTTTTCCTCGCAGCCTGTCTGAAAGCAAGTGCAGTCGCTCAGTCCCAGCAGCTGCTGAGAAATGATCTTGTATGTCATTTAAACATCAAATTTCATCAGTTAAAGTTGTATTCTTGCATATTAAGAGTTTTTTTTTTTAAAGAATGGTAATCATTTTTAGCTTAAAATGAGCATTTTTTCTGGCTTGCATTCTCTTCACAGATTTTCTTTCAAAATGTGTTTTTTGTTTGTTTTTCTAAGCAGAGCTATTGCACAAAATTGTCTTTTCTTGGTGAGCTCACAAAAATAATTCTTGTGTGTTTTAATGTTTTCAATGTTGATGAAGGTCACTGATTGAAAGTTTTATAAGACTGGAGAAAATCCAATATTGGATATTCTGCTTGACTTAACAAGCACTACAGCTTTCAGTTGTCACAAACTCCCTGTAAATACATCAATGTACAGAGTGATTGCTGATTAAAATATTCTAATTAAGAGCACCGACAACACTCCGTGCCATAACAGAGTTTGGGTTTTTGGTTTATTTCTGACGACAATCTGAAAAGTCCTTTTTGTCTTTGGACAGAAGCACTTAGCATTCATCTTTGGAAAAGCCAAATACTTTGTTGAACCATAATATATACTTAGCAAGTTCATATAAAATCTTCATTTTTGTCCAAAGTGAACATACTTTGTTCTACTATGTAAGAACAAAGTAACTTTGTAGTAACAGTAATAACATTACTAGATGATGTAGTAATAATTCTGTAATAACATAGTAATATGTTACATGATAACACTTATGTGGTTCATTGATATTACTTTTGTCAGTCTTGCTGATATTGCTGAAAAAGAATATAGATTAGGTTTTTTTGTGAAGCCTATGTTGTGGATTTCCATGCAACTCTAAAACATTAACCCTTTTCCTAATACACAATGCAGACATCTCGATCCAGAAAAGATTTATGTCTGCATGTGAAAGTAGCTTAGATTACCAGATTAGCCACATTCAAGTTCTGGGTCAAAGTCTTACCATTTGGCCAGGATCGCCGTGCTCACCAGGCAGACCCGGTGGACCAGCAGGACCCTGAGAAACAAATTATCATTCAGCGTTAATACAGCCTGAGTGGGATATAAAGTCAATAGTGTTTTTTCCCTTGACATCACAAGCCAGAAGCTAAAAGTATTTCTTACAGCTGGTCCTGGACGACCGTCTGCTCCAGGAGGCCCAGGAGGTCCAGGCTGCCCCTGGAACAAGAGCAGCATATGAGAGTATGAGCTATAATAGAGAATCATAAAAACATAAACTAAGGTGGTAGAGAGGTACAGGCCACTGTCTGGTCCCAGACTTTTAAAATGCCACTTCAGAGTTTGTGATGGTACCCAATGCTAATCTTAGGTAGCAGGTATTTGGTTTTATTGACTTAATAAGCCCTGCAAAAAACTCATTGGGGAAATTTGTGTTCACCTAATCACTAGTTTAAGCTCACAATTTCCATCAAAACCACTAAAGGACTGACCAGAAGCCATCACTGGTCAGCATGTGACTCAGTGTGTGGATGACTGAATGAAGAGTTAAGTGCTTTGGAGTCCTCTGGGCTTGATGGAATGCTATAAATACAGGCTGTTTACCATTGGTGCACACCATGCTAACTGGTCTGTGCACACCATGCTAACTGGTCTGTGCACACCATGCTAACTGGTCTGTGCACACCATGCTAACTGGTCTGTGCACAGCCATGCTAATTGTGTTCCAGCCAGAAACAAATGTTTGCATGGAAGATAAATTCTTTACTAGTTATAGTCTCATCAGTAAAGATGTACTTGCAAAAGGTTAAAACAATACCAGTAATCATGAGCTACCATATGCTAATTTGTTATAATTCCACTAGAAAGTGATATTTTTTTTGCATTTCATGTTTACAATTCTTCTGTCTTATTTTTCATTTGCCTTAAAGTTTTGACAGACACTCACACTCAGAATTAATTTGACTCATTTTTAAATAAAATTTCAAATAGTATTAGCATGCCTCCAATGTTTGTAGCTTTATTTTTATGTACTGTAAACGATGTCGTAAAATGCACAAATACACATGCATATTTTGTGAGATCTTTCCATAATTATCCTACTCAGCTGCACGTTCTTTTGTATGCTACTTTTGATAACTGCTCAATATTTCATGTTAGAATTTTGTCCTTACTGTACAATACATTATTCTTATTTTTTTATATACATTTTAATAATGCTATCTTTGTGTGCCCAACATTATGCTTTATATTATCCTCTTCATATGCACAAGGACAAAAACATGACTCTAAAAGTCATTAGCTTTATTTGTTGTGACATGTTATTTTTATTAATAATTAAGCATAGAAATCTGCTATAAGTGAATGATAATAATTTTGTGTTCATGAGCCAAGTGGTTGAAATATGTTTCTTGGCAAACAGTAACTCACCCTTTCACCTCGTAGGCCTTCTTGTTGCACCTTTAATAGTAAATAAAAAGTAAATACATAAATTATCAGAACATTTCAGGTAATGGTTACGTTTACATTTTAAAAAACATTACTGCCAGAAAAGCCGGACAACTCACTGATGAGAAGCTTCAAAGTTGGATTGTGTAACTTTTATAAAAATATATTTTGACATATTTGCAAAAACTGTTATTATGTCCTGACAGTGTAATATCAGACAGATAATCTATGAAAAGATCGATCTCCTTCACCTCTTACCCAAGCAGCTATTACTGTATGAAGAGATGCACCATTCCTGACCACAAACAACCAATCAGAGCCAGGAGGAGGGTCTTAGTGCTGTCACTCATCCTCATGTACTCGCTGTTAAATGTGCTAATAGCAGAGGAAACCTGGCTTCATTAGTGACTAACCAGATTTAGCATTCAAACAGGCTCTGCTAGCTGCAGCGTAGCAGAGAACAAGAGGCGAGGGAGCAGAATGGGAGATGACAGTCTCACACAGAGTGTAATTGACAGCGCCAAGACACGCCTCCTGGCTCTGACTGGTTGTTTCTAGTTATGACTTTAAGGACTAGGAGAATCCAGAGAAACTTTTGCATTTTGCCGATGATCTGTCTCATATTACACTGTCACAACATAGAGAGTTACAACGTGTAAAATTTTTATTCTTTCATTGAAAAGCTTTAATCACATCCTAAATAGCCGTAACTATTTCAGTCTTCTGATTATAAATATAAATGTAAATCAAGCTTTTTTAAATGTCTCCTTGATCCTTATCAGAAAGTGGGTAGAGCACTGACTGCTCAGAACTGTTCCACAAAAACCCACTTTAAAAAAAAAAAACAACCTCTCAACTATTCCATTCAGCAATAACTCAAACACTCTCAAAGCTTAACCAGCCTAAATTAAATGACAAATCAAGAGTCCTACTTCTCCTCTGAAACGTGTTACTCCAAATTGTTCACCACTGCAGACATTTTTTTTTCACTTTGCTGATACTCACCACATCCCCAGGTAATCCAGGAAGTCCTCTCTCCCCCTGTGGCAGAGTTGAGGCAAGAACAAACATCATCAAGATGGAAAATACCCTCATATAGCAATGTGATAATAACACAGCTGCTACCGTAATCCACGAAATGAGTCATGTGTAACTGTGTGCTTATTGTAAGCTGAAGCAAAGTGGGACTTGTGGTTGACGTCCCCTTGTACCCCGGCGGGACTGTCTGCGCGGACCTTCTGATGTGTACGTTTAGCAGGGTGTGGTGTTACAAATGTGCATCACTGGGAGAATCATCAAAGCCGGTAATTACAGACAGACGAAATGAACTCCGCTTTTTATGTTCTGAGACAAACGGAGCGAGACGGGTTTTGATGGTGCAATGAGGAGACTGAGGAATGTCTGGTGAGCGCAGACTGTGAGCTTGGGAAGCCTTGGAAGATATCCAGTTTAAATCAGTCTTATCAGCTCCACTTGTTGGACATTGCGCTCATGACGGTATCCTCTTTTCCTGAGAGTGGGATGCGAAAGGCAGCGGGAAGATGCGCAAACCTTGTTGCCCTTGATTCCGTTTGGTCCAGGTGCTCCAGTCAGTCCTCTCAGACCCTGAGGGACAAAAAAAATAAGTAAATAAATAAAAAAATCAGAAAATCTAAATTAAAAACCTTGATCGCTGGATTAAACTCACATCTTTTCCGGGCAGTCCGGGTTTTCCTGGCAATCCGTCTACACCCGGAAGACCCTAAAATGTAAACAAGGCTTGTGTCAAATGTTTTCAAGCAGAGCTAGGAGAAAATAGTTTGATTTATTTAATGTTACGTTTACTGTGTTACTGTGTTACGTTTTTATGGTGTAAAGCACTTTGAACTGCCTTGTTGCTGAAATGTGCTCTACAAATAAACTTAACTGGACTTCTTATGTTACAGTTTTCAAAGAGAAATTAGGAGGGATATTATTAAAACCGACTGTAAATAGTCCAAAGTTTGTCTTTGAAGTTTTAAGTTGTGATTCCAAAGTAAAAATTGTGACTGTATTTTAAAGGTCGTACAATGTTGCTTTAGTCTGGATTTATTGATAGATAACGCTGTGATGATTTTACTGCACAATGCAGGGAAAGACAGCTTTGTACCTTCCATCTGTCTTTTCTTTACGTTTAATTTTACTCCAAGCATTGTTTTTAAGACAAATCCATGTCCAGATTGTGAAGAAAAAAAAAAACAAGACAGTCGATGAAAAGCATTTTATAGAATTTGGAAGTACACAAAAGCAAATAATCTGCTAAAAACAGCATCAAAGTGTTTCACCAATAAAAACTGGTGATCAAAAATTGGCCAATAAAATCTCAGCTCAGTACAATCCTTGGTGATTCGGGGGATCCTGAAACTAACACTTCGTGTGACCTGAAGGAAGGAGTTGGAAAAATGTCAAAGTGGAGAAAAAAAAAAAAAAAAAAAAAACTTAACAAGATCCAAGTGGGCTGTTAGCTTTTTGGCAAGAAAAGTGAAATCAAAACAAGTTTAGGGTCGTTCCTAATGAGCACATAATGTTTCCAGGAACAAAGTGGGAGTCATTAATCTGAACTAATATGTGTGGCAAAAACACATTTCTTGGTTTCAAACATCGGCCGCATGTGTCTTAAAAACCGCTTGTTTCCTTTATCGCTTTACAGAGGAAAGTATTTTTCCAGTAGCTTTCACCAAAAGGAAATTGTTCAATGACTGACTGACTGTTTGGCTCGCAGACAGATTTCAACCTGGCAGCTGTGAGGCTCCCAAACCTTTCAAACAGCATCCTGCAACATGGCAAAACAATCATTCTGTCATTCTGACCTCTGAGCAGCCTATAGAAGGGATTGTTATAAATTGCTCGTATGCATTTCGCCTGATGATGAAAAAAGACAAGTTTGACAGACGAAAATAGCGTACCTACGGACTTTTGAGAGGACATTCTTACTGGAGTGAAATCTAATATCCAAACAGCAGCAACATGCACAGAAAGTTTCTCAAGGAACGCTTCAGACATCAACAAAGCTCCAAACGCCCCCGCAGTATTCCAGACAGGAAGCATGGAGAGTGAATCAAGTGAACTCCATCTGTTTGCACAATTACGCCCCTCAGTTCTTCGATTCCTCCGAGGAGAAAGAAAAAAAAAAACATGATCTCACCTTCTCAGAAAGTTCCATCTCTTATCGAGATTTAGAATTTGGTGGAGGTAAAAAAAAAAACGAACTAAAATCACGGTTTTAATATCGAGACATGCTGGGGGATAAGCTGCACTGTGAAGATGGGTAGCCGCCGGAAACGGGAAGAATACGAGAGAAGAAGCGAAGGATCCGCTTTTAAAAAGTTTGGACCCGTGTTAACTTACACCAGCTCCTGGAGTTCCTTTTTCTCCTTTCACACCAGAATCTCCCTAAAACGAAACAAGTGGATGGTTTTCAGCTGGAGTACATTCATCGGCAGATTTCATCTGATGGAGGTGAGGCACGTCACTCACAGAGACGCCTTTCGGACCGGGCGCACCGGGAATTCCTGCATCTCCTTGGATTCCCTGCAGAACATAAAATGAACAGTTATGTTTGCTGGACTTATGAAGTCACTGTCATTGCAGTTTACTCTGGTGACTGACTGAAAACTGCTGAAAGAGAGTTTAGATTATATGGCAAAATGAAACTCGCCTTGAGCTGCAAAGAATTTTCCAAACATGAACGAAAGTATTTCTATTTTCAGATTGTAAACCAAACTGAATCATCAAATGCAATAAACAAAATATTTTTCAAGAAGGATGTGAGCATTTTCTGTAAATGTGGAGAACGAAGGAGGAAAAGTAGCATAGTGTGAAGTTTCTTTCACTTTCGATCCACTTTCTTCAATTTCGATAAAGATACCAATATCGATATCTGAGGTTTAGTATCGGCCGAGTCGATACAGAAACACTCTTCTGGATTGACTTAAAATGTTTCTTTTTTTTTTTTAACGCAGACATAAATGATCAAACATTTAAAATCAACTTTAATTTATTCCGTGTGTGGAATTAACAGTCAACATAAAAAAAATAAAGAAGATGAAACTGACAAAAACAACAGGTAGACTACTTTGGTTAAACATGTAACAAATTCTTTCAAATTGTTCAGAAATGCAACTACACATTCTAAATATAATGTCAAATAAATGATAAAGCACGAGACCACAAAGCATTCAACTAAACAGAATATATCTGTCCTCATTGATCAGGCACAATGTCATGACGGATACAGATATTGGTTTTAGATCGATGCATCCCTAGTTTTACTTGTAAAAGCTTGTCGATTGTCCCATCAAAAACCAATGCAGATCGGAATCGTGAACTCAGAAATAGGAAATAGTAAAAGATTCCCAACGCCAACAGATTACCAACCTTCTGGCCGGCTGGACCCGGTAACCCTGCAGCGCCGGCTCTGCCTGCTTCGCCCTAAACACAAGAATCAAATACATTCTTGAAGCATATTCTGAAACCTTGTACTTTTCTTTGTTTTAAGCAGCATTTAAAAACGCTCTACATCTTACTTTGTCCCCTTTGTCACCAGTTAGACCATCAATACCAGGAACACCACCGGTGCCCTGCGGAACAAAAACGGATGTTTGTTTATTACCAGACCACAACTTTTTAACCCTCGGAGTGAGTAATAAGAAAATGAGGCCTCCTTATGTCCAGGTCCACACCTTCTCTCCCTTTTGTCCAGGAGAACCTGTTAACCCTATAGAGCCTCTATCGCCCTGGAAACAGAAAATAAAAGTTCAGACAGATGGCTCAGTCAGACACAGGCATGCAGACCAAGGCGAACCGTCGGGAACTCGACCTGCTAGTATCACAGACAGCTGAAGAGGTTAGAAACACGTACATGAGGTGAACGGATCACACAGGAGAACAGAGAGTAAAACACGCAAAGTCACACGAAGACAAACAAAACACTTTTGAGTAAAGGTTGGACGGCCAGAATGTGTTGAAAAGCTTGACCGAGACCCACTGTGGCCTGGTCACGCGTTCGAGCCCAAGACTCAAGGAACAATAGCTCCCCATTGTCCTCGCAGAAATGCATTGTGGGATTGCTCGCTGATGTCACCTTCTGCTCCAGAGGAATTCCAAAAAGCGAGACCGGGTGAAAGTTAATGGCCCCCAAATTACACGGTACGCCATGCGTCTTACCACACCGCAAGACTTCCCTGCGCTTTACAAGTCACAAACGGTTGCCCTTTAATTATTTCAGGCTCATATTAACACACAGCACTTATTTTAATTGCCAAGATTCAAAGACTCAAGCAAAAGAGGCGTCACCTGCAGCAGGGAATCACCTGCTGCAGGTGATAGACTCAAACCCGAGTTATAATAAACACAGAACACGTCAGAGGCGCCGCATGTCACCAGTTTAGTTTTCGTTATTTCTTTTCCCTTCTTTTCTCTGTTTTAGAAAAGTTCACAGAAGCAAATTGCAACGTTCTCGCAGAGAAAAAAAGCAAAGACAGACGGTGAAGCAGAATGTAACCAATAAGTGCGAGCGCATTGAAGCTCAATTTAATGCGCTGCTGTCAAAGCAGTAAAGTTTTCCCAACAGGAAGGATGGATAAAAACGGGAATCAAAAGATACGTTTCTTTTTTCGCAGCAAGTCAACTTTTATGTGACAGAAAGTAGAGCAGAATTGTGAAATTGAAGGAAATCGATCAAAGTTTCTCCTCTCTTTCCCCCCCCCAGAGGAATCTGAACATGGGTGGATTTCCTCATCAGCTCCAACTCTGACAAATATTTTGCAGACAATCTCAATGGGATTTAGGTCTGGGCTTCGACTAGGCCAGGGCTCCAGTAGGTTTTCTGGGCCTTCCACAATGGCTATTAAGAGCTTCAGCCAAAAATGAAAAAGAAACTGTCAATGTTTTGAAACAGAGACATAATAACAAATGCCATTTGTTAACCTTTTTCCGATTTTTTATTCCAAAAACGGCAAAATTTTATCAGGTATTTTGGATCTAGTTTCAAATGCAAACCTCTTAGTGCACTTAAAATAAGAAAACAAACTTACAGATAACTTTTCAACAAGATATAGGAGTTTAAGTCAATATTTAGATGAAAAAAAGGTAGTTGCAACATAGGAAAATATCTTATCAAAATCACGACCTAAATTTCATGTCTTTTAAAATCTACAAAGATATGACTGCTTATGGCATTTCAGTCTCGATGCTGATATCAGAGATGTTTCAGATACAGGCTGTTCTATTTATATTTGACAAATTTAGCGCTACGTCTCTTTTTTATGAGGAGTTTAATGTTTAATGTCTGTTTAGAAGCTGATTGCGGTGCGGCAATAAAAGTCATGTAAAAGGAGGATGTGATTTTCTGTCAACTTCACAGTAACGCAGCACTTGATCCATCGCATAAAATTTCATTGAAATACATTGAAGTTTGTTTCTGCAATGTCACTTTGCATGGAATATATGTATATATAAAAATACATTTACACGCACTAAAGCACTAAAGAGCATGTCAGGAAGAGCTGGTAGAAAGAATAGGCACTGGAAAGTTTTTGTCCGCATGCGTTTATATATGTAGGACTCAGACAAACACATGTATGTGTTAGAATGAAACTCATGCTCAGTCTGCATGCCAGTCCAGTCCACTTACCTTCTCCCCTCTGTCGCCTTTGACAGAGGATAGTTTGCCCTGCAAATAATTAATCGATAGGGATCAATTATTATCGAGGCTGAAAGAGAAGAGGAACAGTTGGAAGGCATGCAGTGTGGAACGACTTCAATTTGCCCTACATTGTTCAGGACAGCAACACGAAGCCGAAGCTGTCATTTTATCGAACGATATAGTCTAGCTGTTTTGTTTTCATTTGGGAAAAAATAAATAAAAAATGCAGAAGTGAAAGTGCACACATTAAAATTTTCATACAGATTCTCCTCTTTCCCCTTTGATGCCCGGCGGCCCGACGGCACCTTTAGGGCCAAAGTCACCCTGAAAAAAGGTAGGCACATTCACACCGTAAGAAGGGACATAACGACGCCTGTTGTTGTGTCTCACATCAGACTATGAAACTGCGGCGAGAGATGACCTTGTCACCCTTAAGCCCAGGAAGACCGCGCGCTCCGACGTCTCCCTGTGGGGAATAAAAACGCTGTGGTCTCCTGAAATCTTTCAAATGAAGGATTCCCTCTTACACATGGCGACTACAGGCGGAGATAAAGCGGGACGTTGCGTTACCTTGGTCCCCGGAGGGCAGGAGCAGTTTGCCTGAGGGCCTCTTTGCTGCTCTGCGCTTGTCGGTATCGGTGTGGGGATCGGCACAGGGGGGGCCTCGGTCACGACCTTTTTAGGGCACTGAAAGGATAGAATTGATTACAGTTTGTGGCAACTTATTCCTAGACATTGAATATTCAGTAGCAAGTATCAGTAGCAAGTTGATGCTTTTGCACAGAAAGCATCAACTTCTTTTCTTTTTTGGATGCTGTATATATAAAACTAACAGCTCTTTCACAGTGGTGCCCTCAAGGTGGGAACAAGGGGGCCATAGGCCCCTCTTGAAAGATCTTGGCACTGGACCTTCAGGTCATAGAAAGGTATACAGACTATCTTTATCACATCAGAACATAAAAATAAAACCTAATAAATAAATGTGAGCATTTATGAAATTCAACATAAAATACAAAAATGCTTACATGAGGTGTCACAATCTGGTTTGTCGGGGTAGAGTTACATGGTAATTTTCACATGACTTTTATAAAATTAAATAACCTTCCAATAGAATGGAAAGCAATGCTGACTTTGTTTTCACTTTAAGGAATTGGTTATAAGATGATTATAACCACAGATGTGTACTTATTTCTGTTCAGGAACCTGATATGATTTCTGGACATGGCTTTTAATACCGGACAAACCCCCAGGTAATTTATTGCATCACTCATCAGCATTATTAAATGAATTATAAATTAGGGGGTTTGAGGACAATTAGTTAACTTTTTTTGAAGTTCAAAGGATTTCTCAAACATGCATGAAAAATTCAAGGCAGCACTCCAGGATGAATGGTCATTTCATCCTGGTGAAATGATGGGCTTCCATGATGGTGAAGCTCCAAAAAGTCAATGTTCCATAATGCTGTCCCTTTAAAACAGTATCCATACAATAGTGACCAAGTGTGTGTGTGTACATGGAGTTCTACTTACCGGCCCGGTAGGGAGATCACAGCAGGTCTCCAGTTCTGCTTGTTTGGAATCACAGTAAATCATCATCCTTTGGAGGTCAAACTGCTCAAACACACACAGGCCGTTAAACAGATCAACCTTTAGGAAAGAGAAAGCCTGCAGAGAACTAAGAATTTACAAATAGAGGCGGGTACACACGTCTATGGGAACGCTGTCATACAGTCTCTTGCCAATCACCGTCTTCCCCTGAATGTCTATGTCTTCTCGGTCTTCGATTGGCAGAGTCTGGATGTGTTTGCAGTCCAGGTACAGGGCGACAGACTTTGCTTCCACGCTGAGGCCGATCTTGTGCCAGTTGCGGTCGAAGAGGTTGTCCACTTCAGGATTCTTGAACACAGCTCTGACGGCGTCTTTCGTCAACCCGACTGCATTGTACTCCACGGCTTTGTTCTCACCGTCCAGACGGATGGACACCTGGAAGACACAGGAAAGAGACGGTAGTTCAAACACAATCAGCAAGCGGTTCCTCAAAGCATGATTTCTATCCCTCTAAATTGGGTAAAGTCATTGTACATTGACATGTTATACTATTTAAACTTGGTGGACGAACCTGCGGGATTCCATATTTGTCAAAAATCTGCCAGAGGTACCAGTCTTCCCGTCTTGAGGTTTTTCTGAATTTGAAGGTTGTCACAAAGGCGTATTCATCTGGTAAACCCTGAGCAAACACATCCCTGCAAAATAAAGTAATACTGTTAATACATTCGTTTGGAAATGTATACTGCCTATTAGATTTCTATGTGTAAAACCCTGCAGTGTAAACTGTGTAGGAAGTAGAACATTCTCTCTGCTTCAAGTTCTCACTGACTACAGTTAGAAGCTTAGTTTGAATTGCCTGGAAAAACAAAATAGTACGTCATATTTTGCATATAGATTAGATTTACCACCCTTTAGCATTTTACATCTGGTGTTGCTTCATTTGAGGAAAATATCAGAATCATTATTGGAGACGGTCTTTGTGCTTGAGATGCCATCTTGTTGCCTACTGCTACCTGTTGCTGCGTCTCCACTGGCCATCTAATCGTACAATCTGACATTTCGAAAATAAATGTGATTAACGGAACCATGCCAGTTCCAAAAGAGCTGTCATTCGAGAATAACTTTTAGTGCTAGAATGAGGTGTCTTTTATTTTTTTTTTGGCCATAACAAAATGAGCCTATTTGGCAAAATTGCAATGGAAATCACTAAATCAGCAAGAAGGCAACATGAAGTATGTTTTTTTGACGTTACGAAATATTGACAACGTTTTGTGCACATTTACTATGGAACGCAGCTTGTGTGCTGAGCAAGGCAACTAAACACATCATCCCTAGCAATGATAGTTTGCGTAGCTCTTCAAATATGTCTTACTAGAGAGCTACATGACACTTCTTGACGTCTAAATAAATGAAGCATGCACAAAAATGTGAACAAAAGAGCTTTAGAAATGGTTTGCAACTTATGTAATTCATAAGAGTTCATGGTTTGCTGTTTTGGCCAAGATAGTTTAGAGTCTTTCAAAATAAAAGCCTAACCAAGCACCACAGACACTACCATATCAAAGTATGGGGCATATAGTGAGACTTTTGTTTTGAAGATCTCACCAGAGGTAAAAAAAAAAAAAAAAAAAAAAAACTAACAAATGACAATTTATGAACCACTATTTTGTTTTTGCAAATCAGGAAATGTTGAATGTTTCTTCATAAAAACATCTGAAGCTGTGAGACATAAAAACAATCTGAGTTAGTTTTCCAGTGTGACGTTTTCTCTAGTTTTGACAGAAATCTGAAGCTCACTGATTGGTTCAGGCGGAGCTCACTCACTCTGTTTGCTGGACGATCGGCATCGTCCCGAGGCGAACATACGAACTCTGGCCTTCATCGACTCTGGTCCCCAGGATGTCTTTCACGCTGAAGTACTCCATCAGGTCAAACCCTGCAGCATCACAGTCACATCATCCAGTCGGACTCGTACCGTTCTTCCAAATCTCACACATACATCCAGAAGTTTGTGTCATTTGTATCTTTAGGAAAAAGACCTGCGCTGACTTTCTCCTCTCAACCCTCCAGATTCAGATCAGCCTTACATTTTAAGGCTGTTTTAAAGCTCACCCAAAAAAAGCACATCATTTGAAATCATGTGAAGTAAAAAATTGTTGTATTTCTTTTAAAAATTCATTTAATTCTTTACTCATTTACTCATCTTTACCAACACATTAGCATTGGTCAGTCTGTTAAAGTATGCAGGCCAAGGACTAGCCAGACAGATTTCCTGCTGACCTGCAGACTAATGCCTCACCACATGTACTAAAGCAAGGCGCCAGTGTTTTTAACAAAAGATAGTAAAGATGGAATAAGCCTTAAGGTCTAACAAATTTTTCCACTAAATGTCAAAAATGTTTTATGCACATTTCCACATATTTCTGCGAAATGTGACAAATAGAGTCCAACTGTGTAATATGCATGACTTTTACATTTATTGAAGCTTTTATTTTCAAAAATATTTCAACAGTTTTCACAATTTCATATCTAATATATGCAATATGAGGCGTCATTATTCAAAAACACTGTCCCAGCACATTAGGGAAACGCTTTGTTCCCCTTACAGTCTTGACAAGAGAAGTCCTAAAGAGATAGGAAAACCCAGAAACACACACACACACATACACACACCACAACACACCAATGAACACAAACATCTCCTGAGTATTGAGGCTGAGTTACGATTTTGGATTTCTCAGTGTTTAGTGTTTGAACTGGGTCAGAACCACCACACCCTGCAGCTACTGTGTTTGTGGCCTGTTTTTGGGCCGGGGGAACGGGGAGCTGAAATCACCGCTTCAGCAGCCGAACAGCTGGAAAATCGAGCCGTTTGTTGTGGAGCTGCGATGTTTGTTGGGTTTGCTGCCAGAAAATATAAAAACCCCAACTAATACCCGCTGCTGGCCAGGCCCTCTGCACGTCTGCGTTACTCTTCGGCGTGTGATTTAGAGCGGAGCGACCGCAGCCCACATTGAGGCGGTTTGGAAACGGCCACTCCCTTGAACAGCAAACAAATGCCGTAGCCATGGAGATGCCAAACGTTCACCGGGGTTGCACTTGTGCTTGGTCGCCGGGTTTTGCGGCGCAGTGCGCGCGCAAAGCAGGTGGCCCTGTAAGGTAAAGCGAGTGAGAACAGCGAGGCCTGGTGGGGCGAGCAACAGTGAAGCACGTTAAAACAAGACCAGATTCATACACTCTTCTAGATCTATGATGATTGCCATGTTAGAGTACTCAATGGGAACATTTTCACATCTGTTTGCGGGACATATCCCTTCACTTTGATCTGAGGCGTTCGGTGTTGTGACAA